GAAACGTATGAATCCTCTTCTTCTCCCCCCAGCTATGGGTAAATAGCAGAAAAGACCGGGTTCTATACCCTTGGATCGTAATTGATCGACCGCAGAAAGAAATGGCAACATATTGCGGGGGAAAATTCTGCCACGTCAGTTATGTATCGAAAGATAGATGATCGACTTAGCGTGTATCACGCATGGCACATAACTGACTAAATAATGATAACTCCTCATCCCAGAAATTCAAAGAATTAGTCTTTATACTAATCATATGATACCATATGATTAAAAAAAACACACACACACACAGGAAATTATTATTTTAACTAACACTATCCCTGTCTGTAAATAGTTTGAACATCAGAAATGCAATAAACAGGTATGAAACAATAAAAATAGGTTTGGTTTATGTACAAAATCTAGTGGAAACCTTCATTCACTGTATGCTACTTTGGTGTTACTTGAGTTGTGCATGTAGATAATTTTCTTTAAGGTAAATCATATATTTTAGTAGAATCATGCACGTACATCACATATTTAATTTGTATCGAACAATTTTTTCTTGAAGGTTTTTATTTTACTTTAATTCAAAGCTAATAGATTAAAATTAATCTTCTTAATAAGCAAAAACACTTTGGTGTGTGTTCAAATCAAAGTTAAAGTGATTGGAATCTTTTTTTCTACTAATTACTTACGAGCAACATCGATAAATTGGTCGATATCGATAGATTTGTCAACACGACTTAATTGTCTTTATTAAAATTTTTTCAAAATAAAATATACTCTTCTGAAAGTTATTTGAGAAAAATTGGCTGATTTAAAGTTTAATTAATTTGAGTTGAAACGAATATTACGATTTTAGTTTAAACATCGCTGTGGGAGTGTTTTGACGTGTTGATGTTTCGGAAATTTAATTTAGGGGTCAATAAGTAGAAAATTAAACGAAGAATACAATGTTAATTATATATATACGCCAGCTGGATGTTTTTCCATGGTGCTCGGTAAAAATGGCAGGTTAAAAATGGCAACGGTAAAAATGGCAAAAGGAAAAAATGGATAAATAGGAAAAAAGGCAATTCGACAACAGAAAATTATGACCGTTCGAGAAGGATGGGTCTAAGCTCCCATCCCTCTAGTTTAAAATAGGGCTAAGTCCCCACCCCCTCAAAATTTTAAAATAAATATTTTTTAAATAGATATTTACTCTAGTGGGGAGGAGCTAGGCTCCTTCTCCTCTTGTTTTAAATAGGAGCTAAGTTACCGCTCCTAGTATTAAAAACATTTTTTTAAATTTTCGATGTCGATTTTTAGAAGTTTTATTGGTGGTGGGGACGCTAGCTTCCTACTCCTAATTGCAGTAAAAGCACAAATCGTAGCGTGTTTAAGTGAATTTGATGACTATAATTAATTTTATAATTGATAGCTGACATTAGGATTAGATGTGTGTGTGTAAGTGTATTAGTGTTTATATACATATATATATATTTAAAATAAGTGCATTAGTGTATATATATATAAAATAAGTGTATTAGTAAGTGTATTAGTGTGTGTATATATATATATATTTATACTTATATATATATAAAATAAGTGTTTTACTATATATATATATATATATATATATATGTGTGTGTGTGTGTGTGTGTGTGTTAGGAATCCCATTCAAATAAAACGTTTATTTTTTTATTGGAATGTTTTTTCTTACAAATAATCAAATAAAACTTTTTATAATAGGAATGTTTTCTTTGAAAATATTTTTTAAATAGTTTATTTATTATTTTTTATAATTGGAATGTTTTCTTTTTGTGTGAAAATACTTTTTAAATAGTTTATATTGAAAACATTTTTAAATACTTTATTGAATTTTTTAAATAGTCTAATAGTTTTTTTATAAATAGAAATGTAACAAAATTTAAATATATTAAACGTCATAGTAATAATGTATCCAATATATTGTTTTTTGTTTTTTTTTATTCGACTGCATTACTGATTTCCACGTGTTCAAACTAGTGAAATTAAAAAAAAAAAAAAACAACTCTAAGTGTACAAAACTGACGAGGAACTGTTTTCTGATAAACACCGCTTAATGTCGGTTTCTGATTTCAATACCGGAAGCCGTCATCAAGTGGACCTATAATTGTTTTTTCCCAAGTTTTTCAGCGTGTTCAGACGTAATCGCGTAAAAAGTAAAATCTCATGAGTGGGGGGAGCTTTAGCTGATTATTCTTTTTTATTTGGCAAAATTCTCATGTTGTTCCATTATGTATTGTATCCAAGATTTTAATAAACTCATTGTGAGATATTCATCCATATTTTTTTCCTTTTGCCATTTTTTCTTCTTTATCCATTTTTACCGTTGCCATTTTTACCTATTTATCCACTTTTGGCATTTTTACCGCTGCCATTTTTACCTAAATTCGTTTTCCATAAAAGCTGTCAATCTGTGGAGTTAACCTTCAAGACAGAACATCTAACTTAAACCTGTTTAACAGGTGTAATATTGGAGGAATCGAGACTTTTCTCATACAGTCTCAGTTACGATGGACTGGTCATATTTTGAGAATGTCTGATGACAGGATACCCAAGATCCTAATGTACAGCCAGTTAGATCAGGGCTACAGGAATGTAGGACGCTCATGGCTGAGATACAAAGACAAGCTAAAAAGCAACTTGTCAGCAGTCAATATACCACATAAGACCTTTGAGCGCTTAGTCTTGGAGCAGGTAGAATGGAGATCAACGTGTTTTAATGGACTCAGCAGGTTTCAATCTGCTTGTACGAATCGTCTTCAAGAAGCGAGAGCAAGATCTAAAAGGTCAGCCAATCTAAGAGTGATCTCATCCCACAATCCTCACTCTTGCTCCATATGTGGCCTCCTTTGGAAATCACTAGTGGGTCTTAAGTGCCACTTAAGATTATCGCACAAAATTTCATGACTGAACAAATTAAGATGTCAGATTCTCATACGTCGAAATCGACAGGAGTGTCCATTATATATATATATATATATATATATATATATATATATATATATATATATAAATCTCCCAGTGATCTTTAAAATTTAAATATTCCAAGAATTCTAATATTTTATTGAATTTTAGGTACGTTGCCTTATTTACAAAGAGGCTTTTTGAGAAAATGTTGAAAAATTGCCAATAAACTTTAAATTTGATATATGTACATCTCTTATTTTTTGATGTCATGTATGGACGTCTGTATTTACAAAAATCGACACGTTTATACGCACATAAAAAGAAATCCAAATCTTTTTAAAATACTTGGGATCGTTGAATTGTAGTGAGATCTTACATTTGATTAGTAAATACAGTTTTAATCTAATAACAATATCATTTGGCCGATACAAAATAATTTAGAATTTTAAAAGATTTAAAATTTTGTAAATTATTCTAATTTAAAATCCTAAAAAAAATGAAAACTTATTTTGCAAAAATACATTATTCATGAATTTCTTTTCTGTGTCAATAATGACCATAATATATTTATTCATAAAAGCAATTAAAAGCCTTTCTAATTAAATAATCTTCTAGTTTTATTGTAATTTTTATTGAACGATTCCAAGCTGATTATCTGTAATTAGGGTCTGTTTGACCCAAAACATTTCATGATTTAAATTCTTGCAGAACTTGTCCATATGACAAATATAAATATTAAGCGTTACAAAAAAAAAAATCTCTAAATTTAAAAACATTAAATGAGTGGATAGAGGCAACATATATTTTCACCAAGTTTTTCCAAAAAAGGAAAATTTAATAATAATTTAATTAATTTCTGAATAAATCCTAAAAGTGACAGTAAATCCGATAATTATCTGATTTTTGCAAGAATTACCAAATTGATGTTTTTTCCTGCAAAAAGACACTTAAATTCCACGTCCAGATTTTTGGTTCCGCGTTGACGCCTGAAAAAGAAAATTTTTAGCTAAAATTTTCAAAGTTCTAAAAAGGATAAAAAAAAAAATTTCAAAGTTCTAAAAAGATTAAATTTTTTTTATCCTTTTCTAAAAAGGATAAATTTTTTTTGATCTTCCCTGTTTATATTGACAAAGATGTTGACGATAAAATTTTGTTTTTATCATATGTTGGTAATTTTTTTTATCATGTACCCCCTTTCTTAGCGAATTTTTGGAAGTACATACCCACATTATATTTTCAGTGAGTTTTATGAGGAGGCACGGTGGAATAATGGATAGCGAGTTCGAATTCCAGTCGAATCCATTAAATTCACTTACGTGCTAATACCCTTGGGAAAGGTATGAATCCTCTTCTCCCCCAGCTATGGGTAAGTAGCAGGTCAGACCGGGTTCTGTAACCTTGGATGGCAACTGGTCTACTGCAGAAAGAAATGGCAAATTACTGCGGGAAAAAAAAATCTGCCTCGTCAGTCATGTATCGAAAGATACATGATCGCCTAAGCGTGAATCACGCATGGCACATGACTGACTGACTGACTTTCCAGTTGAATCCATTACATTCACTTATGTGCTTATATAGCCTTGGGAAAGGAATGAATCCTCTCCCCCCCTCAGCTATGGGTAAATAGCGGTACAGACTGTGTTCTATAGCCTTGGATAGCAACTGGTCTGCTGCAAAAAGAAATGACAACCTACTGCGGGAAAAATCTGCCTCGTCAGTCACGTATCGAAAGATACATGATCGCCTAAGCGTGTATCACACATGGCAAATAACTGAGTTTTATATGGCTTGTTTAGTTTACTTGACACAGACCGAACAATCAGAAATATAGTGAATAACTATGACTGCTAGATGTTGCTTGATATCCTATGTACAAAATCAGCTGATAACATCCAATAAGCTGAGCAATAAAGAATATAGTGGAATCATCGATAGTTTTAAAAAATTATGTTCTAAAATTAAGAGTTTTTTTTTATTAGTTAATGCTTTGCTTCTAATTTCTTCGTCTTCTTCTTTCGAAAATAATTCTTTTTCTTTTTTTTTTCTTTATAATTTATAGCAGCTGGATGGGGTTTTAGCATATTCTTTCCCTAAAACCAACCGTTGACCCTTCCTTTGCAATAGCACCTATTATTTTTCTCTTCATCCTTCAAGTTTTTCGCTGGCCTTTCTTTCGGCAACATTTTTTGCAAAATGCTTTTCCACACATCCGTCCCCTCCGACATGAAAACTTTCTGTCGCTTTCCTCCTTTTTTTTTTCTCTTGCTTTGATTAAGGGAGGGCATTGGTTTGAAAAAAGTTCACAGCTTCAAAAGAAGTGAATGTCCACCGTAGAAATTCAGGATACAAACTTGAACAATATAATAGCAAAATAAAGACGCACCAGAGGCGGACTTGCGCCGAGACACAAGGAAAAAATGTGCTGCTTGCTGTCAATGTTAAAGCAAGTCATCCATATCGCTAAAATGACATTTTTATGGTCTATGAAAGGGTTTACTTAGGTCAACCCTGAAACTCAATATTCAAATCGGATGAGCGTTTTATTTTCTTTGTGTATATGTAGTTTACTTAAAATCCTCCACCTCCTCCTCCTCCTCTTCCTCCTCTCCTTCTTCTTCTTCTTCTTCTTCTTCTTCTTCTTCTTCTTCTTCTTCTTCTTCTTCTTCTTCTTCTATTATCATTATTATATTTATTCCACCTTTTCTTCTCTTCTTTTTCTTCATCTCCTTCCTCTTCTTCTTCTTCCTCTTCTTCTGTTATCCTTCTCCGTATTCCTTTTCTTCACCTCCTCCTCTTCTTAGTTTCCTCTTCTTCTAATTTTATAATTCCACATTTTCTTCTCCTTCTTCTTCTTCTTCTTCTTCTTCTTCTCATTTTATAACACTTTTCTTCTTCTTCTTTGCTTGTCTTTGATTCTTTTCCTTTTCTCCTCCTCCTCCCTTCTTCTTCTTCTTCTTCTTCTTCTTCTTCTTCCACATTTTCATCTCTTCTATTTTTCACCTCGTCTTCTGTTTTCCTTTCCTTTCCTCTTTTTTCTCCTCCTCTCCTTCTAATTTTATAATTACACTTTTCTCCTTCTTTTTTACTTGTCTTTGATGACGATGACGATGATGATGATGATGATCCTTTTTCTTCTTCTTCTTTATTATTCCACACATTCTTTCTCATCTTCTTTTTCTCTTCTTCTTGTCTTTCGTTTAATAGTTTTTTCATGCCAATTTTCTTTCGCGTTTATCCTTTTCTATTTCTTTTACTTCTACGTCTTCCCTTCCATAGCACATTCTTTTGTTGAAAGGAAAACAAACAAAACCTGTATTAAATGAAATTAAATGCATTGCTCATTATTATAGGCGAACTCGGAATATTTTTAAAGACCTTTTCCGACTTTAAAAGGATCCGATGTTCAAAGAAGAGGGATGATAGGTGGGCAACAAATAACTACAATGAAGGAAATAATAACAATAATTCATTGAATAACCTATACGCTTTCTCCGAGATCATAAAATATTAGGAAGAACGGAAAATGCAGCAGCCGAAAAGATAGGGTCCAGAAAAAACAATAATACTAAGACCATCTCTCTTCTTGCATTATATTAATGATCTGCCTAAGAGTATACTCCGATCTCTTGTGAATATCTACGTAGATAATGCAAAGGCATATGGGTGCACATCCACAAATTTAAATGACCAGAGCCTAGAAGATGATCTCTTCTTTCACTTAACTCTAACAACTCAATGGGGTTTTGCTGGCTGATTGCATTCAGTACGTCAAAGATCAAACTTGTAACATTCATCATCATCGAGCAGCAGTAGCGTGCAGAGTGTGTGAAGGCACCGAGCACCAGAGAGGGTATCTAATCACAGACTGAAATAAATAATTTAGTTTAGATTTAATTTGTTAATAAAGTGTTTATTTCATGTTTCATCTGTTTTTACATATTTAAAATGTCTTCCTTTCTCACATTTCTTACTACTAGGCCCTACTTGTGTCATAAGGGTGTGCAATCAAGGAGTTGGCCCCGGACATCACCAGACTCCTGCACGTCACGGCCAAGCAGGTCCTGAATCTCCCCCTAAAGCAATGAAGTATGTTCTCTCAAGGCAGGTATTTGCCTTGAACGCCAATTGGGACTAGACCTCAAATGGAGTCTGACTGTCATATTTGGTCTGGAGCTGTTCAGTCTTTACTTTTCATTCTTGATAGAGTCCAAAAGCGTCTACGCGGTCTTGTGGCTGATGAAGTGTTTTCTACTTACAAACTCTTTCCCACAGACGAAACGTTCCCTGTTTTTTGCTACTTCCGTGGAAAATGTTCAGTTTCCCCAATTCTAACCGTCCCAACTAAGACTTGCCATGTACATTGAGGCAAACAACGTTCATCCTTTTCGCATTCCATTAGTAAGGAGTAAGTTCCACTCTGATAGCTTCTTTCCAAGAACTGTTGATTTGTGGAACAGAACCCCGGGAGGATATTTTCCCAACACCTACAATCTTAACCAGTTCAAATCTAGGGTTATCTTTCACACATATCCTCATAAACTGATCCCTTACTGTTACCGCTCACACAAAAACCATCTTCAGTAACCCTCTGCCTTGAGTGGCCCTTGGGTCTTGTATAGGGTGAAGCTTAAAGCTTGTTAGATCGTATTAGAAGCGTTTAGATCTAATTTATTTTTTTTAAAAAAAAAGATCGATTACCGTTGTATTACAATAGACGTCATATTAACGGGCATGTTTTATAAAATACATTCACAAAATTAATATATTTTTAATTATTTCTTCTCACATTGAAAATAGAATAAAATAATCAATATTTTCAGTTTATTATACTTCTATGATTTTAAGAAAGGTAAAAAATATAGACTGAATACAAAAAATATAGAGTTTATATAATATGTTCTGTGAATGATCGAAAGTTTCAAAAGTGGTCTTGAAAATTTCGCTCTAGATATTTCTCGCTGAACAAGGTTCCATGGTCGGGATGCCTAGTTGAGGTTGACAGCGATCAAATCAAGATATTTATTACAATAATCACCGTTACAGCGCGCGTGAGATAGCTGACATACTCAAAATAAGTCTTGAGAATCATTTGCACCAGATTGATTATGCTAGTCACATGGATGTGTGGCTTTCACATGAGGAAATTTAAAAAATTTAGCATCTGCGTTAATCCCCCACTTACTTTTTTAATTTGTAGCACTGTGTTTGCTATGAGCTCCTGACAGAAAATCAAATGATTGACTCGACCAAGTACTGTCCCCATATGATACCAGCTGAAAAGCTACAATCGACGGAAAGCGTCCGTTTGGAATTAGTTAATCGAAAAGTGTGAAATTGTCCGTTAAGATAATTTGCATTCTTTTTTCTCAGGTAAACACTGATGCAATCTGGCTGGAAATTTTTCATTCAGCAGATACTATACCTTTGAATTAACTTTTATTCTGGTCTTTACAGAATATTTTTTTCTATGAAAAATCTTCAGTTTCCAGTGTGACTATAAAAGATGCGTATAACTGCTCTTTGGCGAGAAAGATAAAACTGTTCTGGGAGGATATAATTGTGAAATTAGTGAAAAGGAAGCACAGTGGAGTAATGGATAGCGGCTTGGATTGAGAAATCGGATTTCCAGTTGAATCTATTACATTCACTTACGTACTAATACCTTTGGGTAAGGTATGAATACACTTCTAACCCACCCCAGCTATGGGTAAATAGCAGGTCAGACCGGGTTCTATAGTCTTTGATTGCAACTGGTCTAACGCAGAAAGAAATTGCAACCTACTGCGGGAAAAAATATGCCTCATCAGTCATGTATCGAAAGATACATGATCGCCTAAGTGTGTATCACGCATGGCACATAAATGACTGACTGACTTTCCAGTTGAATCCATGACATTCACTTACGGGCTAATACCCTTGGGAAAGGTATAAATCTTCTTCTCCCAACAGTTATGAGTAAATAGCAGGATAGACCGGGTTTTGTAGCCTTGGATGGCAACTGGTCTACTGCAGAAAGTAATGGCAAATTACTGCGGGAAAAAAATCTACCTCGTCAGTCATGTATTGAAAGATACATGATTGCCTAAGCGCGTATCACATAATTGACTGACTGAGTGGAAAGTTCGTAGAAAATTTCTTCAATAACATAAACTGCCGGAAATAAGAAAAGTATTAGATTAGTTAATTCTGTATTCTGTGAGAATCGACCGCCTCCTCAACTCGAGGAATTTGTCTACGGAATAAACTTGCTAAACCTTCTTCTTCTTCTTTTTTCGTTGGCAATCACATCTCTCTGCAATTTCCTATTGTTTCTAGCCTTTAGCAAGGTTTGTCTTTCCACTGCAACCATTTTCAACCACTTACGCAAGCACGTTAAGTAGGTTACTCGCTGTTTCCCCTCTGCACTTCTTGTCTCCAATATACCCAGTGAATGCCAAATTCTCCAAGCCTTCTTTCCTCATTATATGCCATTGAAATTTCAGCAGTCTTTTTTTTTGTGTGATTCTAAGTATAAGTGTTCTTTTTATTTCCATTTTCCATAACACTTTCTCGTTGTAACGTCCATAGTATTCTCAGCATCCTTCTGTAGAACCACATTTCTGTTGCCTCGAGTTTCCTCTTCATCTGCGAGGAAATTGTCCCACGAATGTATATGCGCGAACGTTTGCATATATGCATGTCTGTGTGTAAGTGTATATGCGTCTGAGTGTGTGTATGTATGTCTGTGTATGTGTGTATGGGTGTGTGTGCATTTGTGGCATATGCGTGTGTGTGCGCGAATGCGTGTGCGTGCATATTTGCATGTGTTTATGTGTATGAGCATGCATATGTGTGCGAGTGTGCATGTGTGTATGCGTGCGATGTGTGCATGTATGTGTTTTGTGTGCGTGTGCGTGAGAGAAAGAAAGAGAGGCGGGGGAGAAAGAAAGAGAATCGAGGATATGAGAAGTGTTGGGCGTGTTCTTAGAAGACACATGGTGGCGGTGGATTTTGTTTAGCGGCATATCAACACCTTCATGAGTTATTTCATGCCGAAATCTAAATATTTTGAACACAATTTTATGGCCTCGACTAAATATAATTTGAACGTAATTGTATCAGATAAATGTATTTGCTGTAGCTATGTATTGTTGGTCATTTTTATATAAAAAATAGTGCTGGTATTTTACTATAAAATTAGTTATACTTTCATATTGTTTTCTGTTGGGGGAGCACTATTTTCCCATAGCTGAGACCCTAACAGGTACTACTACCCCGGGTCACGGCGGACCTGAGAACAAAAGCAATTAAGATGTTCTTCCACGCTTCTCAAACCCTCTAATCTCCCAATCAGAGACCTTGCTGCCGGATGTAGTTTATTGTCATACCCAGGACTAAGAACAAAGAAGGACAAAGAACTGCTCTGCTTGTCCTTTTGAGTGGCGCCTTTTGTAGCATGTCCATCATGCGTAGCTGTCTTCATCCGCTGGTTCAACCGTTGAGATCTGTTGTAAGCATCATCCGTTTGTTCCATCATCGTTTGGGGTTGGGGGGGGCGCTTAGTCTAGACCCTCCTTGTTTTTTTTTGTTTCTTTTTTTAAATATTGATTCAGAATAATCTATTTCGTCCTCCATTATTGATGATTTTATACTTCCAGTTCTTTTGTATCTGTCTATATTTCTGAGATGAGGTATTATGTACACTATTTACATTATTCGGACTATTGTCCTCATCATTCTTGCCATATTTATCACAAAGTTTCGGTCGTTGTACGCTCTGGCCTTCTTCAGGTAGTTCGAATGTCGAACTGAACCTTTTATTTCGCTCTCTGGTTAGACTGTTCTAGTTCCAAGTGCCACGTCAGTTATCTCCTGTTAATTCCCCTCTGCAAGTTCTCCATTGCCTTAAACAGGTATTGAACTTACACTCTTTGGGTCCTGTCACTGGATCTAACCAACGCCTTTATCCTCTGTGCCATGTGTCCTTGACTACATCTGTGTATGAATTTCTGGATATTATGTCTTAAACCTAATGTCTTCAGCAATCGTTTTTACCAGTGCTCATATTGCAATTTTTGCTGTTATCATTTTATGTTTTTTACCAGAGCTCATATTGCAATTTTCGTTGTTATCACTTTTTTCTGGCACTCCTTATTACTGGTTCCTACATTGTTTTCATTTCTATGCTTGGTCGGCTCAGATTTTTGTGGCCTAGCATATGTGCTGATTCCTTAAGTTTACGAATTTTCCAATGATGTTCTTTGTCTATGATTTCAACCTGATCACACAGAGGGCTGTGATCTCCCTTTTCTCTCCATATGTGCCTGATTTTTCCATTTCCCCCCATGTTACAGCTTTTTGGTGTTCTTGAAGCCTTACCTTAAGGGGGCGGCCTGTCTCCCCTTTATATTTCTTTTCGCAGCTGCACGGGATGGCGTACACACGGTCATTAGTCATGTTCTCCTCTATGGGGGGGGTCTTACTCTGGAGAGATATCTGTGATGTGTCGTCCAGCTTTTGAAGTTTGTCCTGATGTTAGAAGGATCGCAGATCCTTTGTATTTTCTCTGATAACCCCTTCACATAAGGCAAGCAGACTGTTTTCTGTGCTTACCACGCGCACGGACACCAATCCAGTTATTCTCTTCATCATTGGAAACGTTAACAAAGTCTATGGGTCCCAACACTGATAGTGTGATTACCACATGCCTGGACACTAATCCAGTTATTTCTATATTCCCACACCTGTGCCAGATGGTCATTGAGCGCATGAAAGGATTCACCCGCCCTTTGACATGTCTTGCTGAGTGTCTAGCCACTCTCCTCACTAGAAATGCCTGATGAGAGATGTAGTTGATTGGTTAGTTGAATTTGTTTAGCGGTATATCAACCTATAAAGGTTATTTCATGTCGAAATCTAAATAATTTGAAAACAATTTTTTATGACTAATTATATTTTGAACGCAATTTTTTGCCTTCAAATACAGATAAAATGTATTGCTCGTCATTTTGCTTAAAATTTATTGTTGGTCATTTTATTATAAATATGTATTGTTGGTCATTTTACTATAAAAATGTATTGTTGGTCATTTTACTATAAATATGTATTGTTGGTCATTTTGCTATAAAAATGTATTGTTGGTCATTTTACTATAAAAATGTATTGTTGGTCATTTTGCTATAAAAATGTATTGCTGGTCATTTTGCTATAAAAATGTATTGTTGGTCATTTTACTATAAAAATGTATTGTTGGTCATTTTGCGATAAAAATGTATTGTTGGTCATTTTACAATAAATATGTATTGTTCGTTATTTTACTATAAATATGTATTGTTGTTAATTTTACTATAAAAATGTATTGTTGGTCATTTTGCTATAAAAATGTATTGTTGGTCATTTTACTATAAAAATGTATTGTTGGTCATTTTACTATAAAAATGTATTGTTGGTCATTTTACTATAAAAATGTATTGATCGTCATTTTACTATAAAAATGTATTGTTGGTCATTTTGCTATATGCATTGTCGGTATATTTCTTTTATATATAAAAATGTGTTAATAGTATTTTTACTATGAAAATGCATTTTTATACTTTCATAGTGATTTGTTTTTGTTTGGAGGTTCCTTATTTGCCCATAGCTGGGACCCTAACCGGTGCTACCACTCCTGGTTCATGGTGGACCTGGAAACAACAGCAATTCAAAAGCTCCAATCTCCCGATCAGAGAGACCTTGCTGCGCGGTAAATTACATTGTTCTATAAAGGGCCCGGTCTGTTTTGTAAATGTTGTTCAGGTTGCTCGTGGTTTCTGTATGACGCATGAGACCCCTATATACATACATAGAGACACACATGCACACATATAAAGATGCGGCTAGGGCACCTCAGCGTGGTGCAATGGTTAGCAAGCTTGTCTCGCTAGACCATTTACGACTGAAAAGTGAGTTTGCTCCTCACTAGGTGCTCCATACTTTCGGCTCTGTGCCACATGTAAGCTACGCTTAGAATATAACCATAAAAGATGCGGCTGTCCTGGGTATGACGATAAGCTACATCGGGCAACAAGGCCTCTGATTGAGAGATTGGAGGTTTTGAGGATTAATCCTACTCTTCTAACCCCATCTTCCCAGATACGAGTAAATTGTAGGACAGACCGGTCAAGGATCAGGAAAACTGAATTCAAAATTGTATTTAACCCTGGCAAAGCACGCATTATACAAAAGAAAGGATCGTTTGCATTGACTCGATCATCTCGACTACGGTCGACACCTTTTTTTTATTGCAACTACCCAGGCTGTCATTCTATTTGTATTTTTATTAGCTGAAGATTTGTTAAGGTTTATTCATTTTTGACTAGTATTTCTTTCGTCTTACTTCCAGTTGCTTTTTATCGCAACTGCTCTTTACAATCGATAACAACCAGCGCGTTTTTGTCCCGCATTCTGAGAATCGATGATTCTCTTTTAAAAAAATATTCGTCAAATTTGCTGTGCTAAATTTTTTTTTTTTGATGTTTTAATCCATAGAATATGCAAAATGGCTAATCTCGAATCAGTGCATACCAATGTGAAGATGCTTTAAGGAAACATCAGTGATATTTCTCTTCGTTTTTGTTTTTGTTTTTATCACAGTTTTCGCTCGTTGTCCCCTCCAGCTTTCATCAGGTATATATCGATCTGGGTAACCCACAGGGAATTCTTACGGGACAATAGGATTTAAGCTGTGGTTCGTGAATTTGATGGCATAATAATTATAAAGACATAATAATTATGAAGACATAATAATTGTGATTTCAATACTAGAAATAGGACGAGCAATAACTGAAAAGTATTAAAAATAAGAACTAGATGAGATATCCCAAGATGTAGTCAGTTGAACGAGAACCGTATATCCCCATAGATTAAATAAAGGGTTCATTTTGGAATTCTATGGAGGTTACCCAAAGCAATATCCACCTGATGAAGGCGAAGCGCTGTCATAATAACAACAAAGATGAGGGCAATAATCCGAATATAAATAGTGTAAATAATAACTCCTCATCCCAGAAATTCAGACAGATATTTTATAATATTGTTTTTCTTAAAATATCGTTCTGTTTCACTCTAAAATTTCAAGTCGTTATTTTTCACTGACCGCATAACTGAACACCTCCTATCTAAAATAAGGAGGGAACAGATACTACACCTTCATCCCAGTCAAAAGGCTCAGGAGGTGGAGGCGATAATTCCCATGCTGTAAGGTTGTTGGTTCATATTCCTCCGTTTATTGGCACAAAATATCCAGTTTGAAAACTCCAGACCATTTAAGAATAATAAAACAATACAAAATAGATCCGTAAACATCTTTAACATAATTATATCGATAAATAAATTTTAAATCACAAAATATTACAATAGTTTATGTGGATACGACACTTATATTTTAATGGCTAATATGATAGAGATTTAAAAATAAAATTACATATGGATGGCTGTATTAAGGATGTTATTTATGCCCTGGTCTTATCTCCAGAAACACGGGGCCGTATTTATATTCAAATCGTATTATACACAAGAAAATACGATAGGGTTACCAACCGTTCCACAAAATGCGGGATTGTCTGGCAGTTTTTTGCCAATGGACGTATACAACATTAACATTTTGAGAATAGATTGGTTCTTTGAAAAAGTACGCGTGAATGTTTTTTTTTATTATTCAGTACTTAATCATGAACACAGTTCTGTGTCACTCTTTAAAATTCTAACTTAAATACTATTTTTGAAGCTTTTTTAAAAAGTAAGATTCATTCTGTACAAGGCTTGGGGACCACTCGAGATAGAGGATTACGATAAGGGGTAGTTTATACGGATGGGGGGAGGAATAACAGTTAATTCTAGTTTTGTAAGGGTTAAGATTATAGTGATCGGCAAAACATCCTTTTGGGAGTCTGTTCCACAGAGTAGCGGTTCACGGGAAGAAGCTAATTCGTAATGTAATTCGTACGAGTATTTTCCAATAGAACGTATAAAATTCTTGAATATTAATCCGTGTATATATGAATCTCAAACTGATTTAACTCAGCTTCGTGGATCCGTAGGTCGCTGAGTGGGAAATCCTCGCCTCGCACCCTCTCCCATTTTAATTTTAGGGACTCTAGTGCCATATCCCTCCAGTATGTATGTGAGCTTGGATACTTTTACTTCAGTATTTATAAACTGCCTATTGTGATTTCCCTGTTGCTGTCACCATGGTTTTGAACTCAGACTTTTATTGTAGAATGGTTGCCAAGTACATCTACTATCTAACCCATAGCTGTGAGGCTGACAAAAAATAAATATATATTCAAGATAATATCAGTTAAATAAAGAACATTTTTTTTTCTTTTTTTTTTTACTCCGCGTGTTTTTCAAAGTTTCCGTTGTCTTCTCTAAGAATGATAATGATAACTTTACATCGAATTCGCACGACCGGCTCCTGATTGCGGCTACAGACCCAATTCTTGCTCCCTTTACCATTCTGCCTGCAGGATATTGGGACTAAAATCCCAAAGATCTTTACCCTTGAAAGTGAATCTGGATTCTGATATGCCTGACTCCAGGAATCCATCACTAAAACATATTTATCTTTATTTAACCTCAAATTGAACCTCTCAACAGTCTCCCCCCCCCACTCGGCTGCATGCACTTCTTCGGTCTCCCCCCACCGAACCAACACAAATTCACTTTCACCTCTCTTGTCCCTATCTCTGGCCATGAAACATGTGAGGGGTAACGGTACTCATTTTTAGCTAGTCTTACCCCTTCTCTCTCTTCTTTGGTTTCGAAATACGTTGGAGAGAGTTCGCGGGATGAGAGTTAGGCTTAGTGTTGGGGAAATACTAAATGTAAAGTGACTATTTGTTTGGTGTTTTTTAATTTTTTCATTCTCTCATTCTTTCCATCTCTTATTTATTTCTTCCGTTTACTGTTTTTATACTTTTTGTCTTTCTTTCTTGTTTGTTGCCATGGAAGTCGTTCCTTTTTGTCTTTCTCTTTTCTGAAGAGGTTTTTTTTTTTTTTAACTTACCCCTTTGCTTTCGATTTTGTTTATTCTAACTTCTTTTCTATTTACGACTAATTCTCTTCATTAACTCCCACCCCGCTACTGCAAGTACCCGTTTCTTTCCTTCCTCCAGTTTTTCTCTACTCCATTCTTTTCACCAAATTCCCTTTTTATTTCATATTTTCAGTAAACAACTTTCTTTTCTACGCAGTCTTTTCTTTTTTTCTTTCTTTCTTTCTTTCTTTCTTTATTTTATTTTTTGTAATTCATCTACATTTTTTTTTCATTCTTTTTTCTTTGTCCTTTTTGCAATTCAGGTTTTCATTTGTTCTGTTCTTTCTTAATTTCTTTTGTTTTTCTTTGGAATTCATCTTTTCCTTTTTTCTTTTGTTTGTTTCTTTCTTTGCCTTTTTTGCAATTTGGGTTTTCTTTCTTTCTTTCTCCTTTTTGAAATTCGGGTTTTCTTTCTTTCTTTGTTCTTTTTACATGTCGGGATTTCGTTCATTCTGTCTTTTTTTCTTTCTTTCTTTGTAATTCATCTTTCCTTTCTTTTTTCTTTATAATTACTCTTGTCTTTCTCCTTTTCTTTCTTTGCTTGTTTCTTTCTTTCTTTATTTTTTATAATTCATCTTTTCTTTCCCCCTTTTTGTTCGTTTCATTTTTTTCTTTCTTTCTCTCTTTCTCGTCATCCCAGTCTATTTTTTTTTCTTCTTCACTATTCCTTCCGTTACAATTTTCCCTCTTTACCATCCATTCATCATCCCCCTTCTCATCTTTCACCAGTTGTGATGGTGGCGGGGGGGGGGGGGGTCACCATCAGATTTTCTCACCGATCGTCTTTTATTTCTTACTGGACACTTCAGTGACGTCAGTGTCAAAACACCAACCAATCCTTCTCGACGCCATCTTGCAGCGAAGGAGAATACCGCAAGCTACGCTTTCAAAAGAAAGCAACTTTCCTCCTCTCCCTCCTCCTCCTCCTCCTCTTCTTCTTCTTTTTTCTATCATCTTTTACTTTCCTTTATACATCTTATTTATCAACTAATTATTATTTCTTCTTCTTCTTCTTCTTCTTCTTCTTCTTCTTCTTCTTCTTCTTCATCATCTTCTTCTTCTTCTTCTGTTTCCGCTTTCACACCTTCTTTACACTGTGACCATTATTTTCTTTTTTTATTTTAGTTTCATCTTGTCTCCTCTCAAACAAACAGTTTTTATTTTTTTTTATTTATTTTGTAAGTTCCTCCATTTTATTTTTCTCCTTAAGGTTCAAAACGTTCCTTCTTTTTTTTCCTTCTTTCCTCCATTTTCTGTTCTGTATCGTATTCGATGCACAGCTACTTGTTTCTCTACTTCCTGCATTCTTTAGATATTTACTTTCTTTCCACTCCAATCCCCCTTCCTCTTTCTTTATTTCATTCCTTGTTTCTTTCCTCCCTTCACTCACTCCTTTTTCATTATTCATCTCTTATGTTAACAACTTCTTTTTTCTCCTCGCTTTTATTTCATTATCAACCACTCCCTCATATATCTTTTTTTCTCTCTCACATTTTGATACTTATATCTCTATAAGTTATCTTAGTTTTCAAAGCGGTTAACACATAGATATGATATATGATATGATATGCGATATGATATCTTTTTATAAATTCAATAGATTTTTCTTATTCTTGTTTTTTTTTTTTACAATAATGATTACGTGTTACAAGTCCCAAGGGCCACTCAGGCTAGATGGTTACAGAGTAAGACGTACAGTTTATGGGGATATGTGGTGAAGACAGCGGTTAACCTGAGACTTGAACAGGTTAAGATTGTAGTGATCGAGGAGGCGTCCTCTTCGGAATTGGTTCCACAAAATAGGAAGAAGCTGCTCGAATGGAATTTACATCTCACCAATGGAATATGAAGGGGATGATGTTGGTTCGTCAAAATGGGCATGGCATTGGCGGGTCTTAGCCGTGAAGGTTAGAACTGGTGGAACTAAAGAATGTAGTTCGTCCGATCACTTTCCAGGCAAATAGCGATAGAATAGAGAAAGGCTTGCAACGTTTCGTCTGTGATAAAGGGATTATAGGGAGGAAAATAATTCATCACCCAAAAGGACGGAGAGGCGCTTTTGGACTCTATCGAAACTGGAAAGTGAAGACTGGGCAGCCCCTATATAGGCAGCAGTACCTCGATGAATGCGCATTCTTTTAATGCGTTTTCGTTTAGTACGCTAAAACTTTTATATACCAAACTTCGATTAGTGCATACATAATACTCGATTAGTGCGATAAAACATTCTCCAGTTTAACCATAGTAATTGAAAATTGATTTTTTTTTAATAATTACCGATGTCCAAATTCATCGCACTAATCGAGGGATTCCTCTACTCCATGTTTGATATGTGTGTGTATGTGTGGGGAAGAAAGTTGGATGGGAATTCGACAGAATTTGTAAATATGCAAGACAATTTGAAAAAAAAAGAAAAAAAAAAACGAGATGGAATGAGTTAAAATTTAAAATGGGATATTTAAAAACGTTAAAATTTAAAATGAGATATTTAAAAATTTTAAATGATATTTCTATAACGACGCAGTTAAAGTAAAAATTAAAAAAATCCTCTCGCTAATATGGATTTTGTTCATGTAAAATAAAAATCTTTTTTTTTTTTGATGATGCCCGATCATCGCTGAAACATGTCAAACTGAAGTTTTCAAAATTGTCGTATATATTAAAACACACACACACACATACACTACATATATATATATATATATATATATATATATATATATATATATATATATATATATATATATATATATATATATATACTGTTACATTGAAACTTCAAAACTGTACATCTTGTTTCAACGTTAAATTTTTTAACGTTTCATCAGGTGAGAATTACGATGCTCTAAGAAGAATAAAAGCATCGTGATTTCCCCATTTGATGAAACGTTAAAAAATTTTTTAACGTTGAAACAAGATGTACAGTTTTGTAGTGGGTATGTGCATGTTCTAATTCAACAGCGCATTATACATAAATATTTATTGGTCTACTTTTGTATTGCACCAAGTTTTAAATTAATATTTTGAAAGCTGAAATCTTACTCTTCGTTCTTTTACATTTGTATATATATATATATATATATATATATATATATATATATATATATATATAGATAGATAGATAGACACAGAGGTAGTAATCTGTTGGTATAATCCAGGCGAGTCCTATTAACACAACATAGAATTTGAAATATGTTAAAACTGACTCACAAAATAGCGCTCAATGTTTATTTTCATTAAACAAAGGAAATTTTCTTTACAATTGGAATTAAGTTACCTTTAGTGAATGACCATTTTCACATATATATATATATATATATATATATATATATATAAGATTTATTTATTCATTCGTTATTTTTAAAGGATATTCGTATTTGAGTAGACGTTCTGTTTTTTATTATTATTAAAGAGTATATTTATTTATTTATTTATTTATTTACATCTACCGGTCAGAATATTCGAGAAAAATACTTGATAGAAAAAGCCGGTAGGTGTAAATAAATATACTGTTAAATAATAAAAACAGAGCCTCTACTCAAATATGAACATCCATTAAAAATTACATTTAAACAAATAAATAAATAAACATATCGGATTGAATACATTTCCTATATGACTAGACAAACGCCTTATGTTACATCTATCCGATTACAGCTCTATTAGAACCCATTTAAACACACACACAAACTTACCAGACTCCATCTGAAATATACTAGTAGAAAATATAAGCATAATAAGCTCATCCACATGTGACAAAAAAGATTAAAAATAATGGAAGCTTTAATAATAAAAAAGATAAAAGCCAATACTTAATAATATTAATATTAACTGTGCAGTGTTCGGAAAATAAAACATCTATAAAACACTAAAAACATACAAACGACCCACATACCCAATTAAATTGGAAAAAAAAAAAAAATCAGCCTTAATAATGACTAAAAGAATAGCCGAAAGCGCTTGGAATTATGAAACATTTGAACAGTTTCTCCATACTCTGTGTCCAAAAAAGAAAACACTCGTTCGAATGCAAGAAAAATTAAATAAAAGCCTAATCGCAGTACTTTGTCAGCCGTTTTTAACGAAACATGCATATATATATATATATATATATATATATATATATATATATATATATATATATATATATATATATTTCATTTTATATTTCGTTTTTAATGAAACATGCATATATATATATATATATATATATATATATATATATATATATATATATATATATATATATATATATGCATGTTTCATTAAAAACGACTGACAAATATATATATATGCATGTTTCATTAAAAAACGACTGACAAAGTACAAATATATATATATATATATATATATATACCTTTATACCTTTTATTGAATGTCACAGGCAAGAAAAAGTTTTTCTAATGCTCTTACAGTTTACCTTACAGAATTCAGCAATTGTCTGAAATGATTATTGTCCCAAAGACTTCCTAACAGTTCATTAGCCCTTTTCAGAGGTTCGTTGTTAATGTTTTCCTACGTCAGTTTTCTAAGTTGTATTCTATGGAAGTAGTAGAAATTGTAAGCTGTGCGAAAAGAAATTTACTTGTGATACCATACTGAGATGTCTTTTAATAGACAGCCAACACGTTATTACCGTTGTCAAATAGGATATGTTTGAGGTATGGCTATTCTTGTGCCATTGAAATTAAGCATTGTTGAAAGGGTTCGATTATTAGAATTCGATTATTAGAATTCGATCAGTATTTGTAACTGCTGGGACTAAACATTCGCTTTCTTAAAAGTTAACTATTTAAAAAAATATACTTTTACTACGTTTTTAATGAATTAATAAAAAAATATATGTGTAAATGCAGGGCCGGTGCAAGGGTTCCCTCCCCACCCCGAGTCTATGACACCACCCCCACCCCTATTACATGTAAATTTTCGTAAGGTAGTCGTCATATAAAATACAAATTTTATGGTAGCTTAATTATGCACAATAAGCGATCATATAAATTCATCATCATCATCATCATCATCATCATCATTATCATCATCCTCATCATCCACTTAACTTTTGCAAATGCAGAAGTCGCACTAACACTTTTCACACACACACACACACACACACACACACACACACACACACACACACAAGTATCTAAATACAAATTAGAGACATGTCATAATAGATCATTCCGTCTTAAATAAATCAACAATGTTTTTGCGGCAATTTTTTTAAATCGACTTCAGATTTTTCTTCTTAAAATGTTCAATAATTTTTAATTTTTCAACATTACAGATAAAAAGTAATAAATTTCATATATTGTATTTTCGAGACGCAGCATGAACAAAAGAAATTCCCGGATATGGAGGTGGAAAAAAAACACCCCAGCCTGGCGTCAAAAACTGCCAACATTTTTCACCTTGTAATGGTCAGTTGAGTTTAATTTCTAGTGTATATAAATGTAAATAGAAAAAAAGCAAATGTTGATAAGATAGCGAGGGTCACAAAACACTCAGTAAGGCGTGCTCCCACCCCGGTCGTGGGGTTCGGGGTAGTATACGCCTGCCCGGCGTCAATGTAAGAGTGCACACACGCACACAAAGTTTGCAAAATTTTCACGAAGCCATAAATTTTCTTTCTTTATTAGAATAGCGTGTTCAAAGTCAGATTAGTTTTTGCGAAGAAACGTATTTCATGATATTGTAACCTAGGGAAGGTTACTGAATAGAATAATCAAACGAAAGTTGGTAATGAACGATAATACTTAGAACAAGAACAAGACATATAAGATTCGCCATCGGTGCATAAAAGTAGTAGTCTGCTTTTAGAAGTGAGTCAAGTGGATTCCACAATGAATATCTACTAACCGCCCCACGCGGTCTGATGGTGCACAAGGCCGAATTTAATGTGGGGTATCCGAGCCCGTAGGCTCGGCCTAAAATTCCTCGTAGACCCCGTATAAAATGGGGTCGGGTAGCTGTTTCCCTTCGACAGAGCCTCGTCTGGGGATCATCTCTGCCCGGAGGCAAAGAGTTTGACCAGCACAGATAGAGACGAATCTCCGACTGCAGACCAATATACAGTATTCACTACTGTATTTATGAGAATGGTGACATACCCATTATCGTCTGTAGTTATGCTACAACACTTACTGACATGTAGGACGCATTATATTCGGAAATAATTTTTTTCTCTCTGAATTTCTGGTATGTGGAGTTATCATCATTTACATTATTCATATACAGACTAATGTCCTCACCTTTGTTGTTATTATTACCTGATCGCCTCTTGGCCGAATTTCTGGGATGACTATTTTCTTTCTCTTTGTTGTTGCCATCACAGTATTTCGGCCATTGTGTTTTCCCGCCTTCATCAGGTGTTTATCGATAGGGCTAAACCTACATAGAATTTCGAACTGAACTCTTTATTTTAACTACAAGGTAGATTGTTCTCATGCTTTTGATCGTAATATCACCGAAGTTAAGTAAGGTACGATTCTAAGGCTTACGATCGGAACTTCACCGAA